CATCATTCACGAAGGCTTTGATGGTATGGAACACCGTTCCAAAGTCCAGCATGACGCCGACCTTGCTATTAGGAGCATGTTTCCAATCAAAGTCCGTGTGGTATGTGCCAACGCCAGAGGTGTCGGCTTGTCCCTCAAGCTGATTCCAAGGAACGAGACCCTGAGTGAGGTTGAAGACCGGCTGCGTCACAAGCACCGAGTTGACATTACTAAGATTCCGAGGTGGAGTCCAAGCGACCAGAGTCAACTGCCATCCATCCAGTGCACGCGTCGTTTCGCCCTCAAGCGTCACATTCACGGACCCCCTGCGGTTCGTGGAGAGGGTGTAGGAGACTACACCCTCACGCGTCGACCGAACCTCAACATCACCGTCAACTCCGACCGCTGAGGCAGGAGAGTCGAGAGCCACAAGGTGTGCCTTGGGGACGGAAACACCTTCAAATACACCAGCCCGCGACACTGCGAATAAGGCAGTCTGAGCAGGCGCCAGTGAAACAGATGGGATAGATATGGCTCCAGAGGTACTCGTCCAGAGTGCGACCGGTGAGACCTCGCCGGTCCAAGCGTCAAGGAAGAAGGGAGTGCCATCGATGTCGGGCCTGAGGGTGAGTGTGAAATTTTGGGCAGTATTGCCGGAATTGAACAGGTAGAAGTAGGATGCATCTGGAACGTCGCGCCGGATGCTATAAATGGCGGGTGATGATGCAAAGCTTGCTGAAGGGAGAACGCCCAAAGAAAGGAGGGCGCTAGGAACGTGGGTTTCGTCAGAGACAACAATCACAGTTCGCTCTTGCAGCAGTTGCTTCATCAAAGACTGAACCTGCGCCCGCTGAGTGCCATTTGTCTCAAAGCCGGGGATGTCATTGGGCACTTCACCGGAAATAACGACAGGTAAACCGGACTGGGCATAGTTCAGCAACCTCTGCGACGCATCGACAGTGATATTTGGTCCGCCGTCGAGGATGAATGCTTTGTAGGCGGGCCCACCTGGCGCAAGCCGGCGGTTCGAAACTGATACCCCGGGAAGCTTAAGATTTTCAGGGCTGACATAGTCGTACGAATATCCGGCATTGACCAACAACGAGAAATTTCGGAATGGGGGCGAGCCGGTGATATCGTAGCCTTTTCTGTATATCGCGACATCGACCTTCGGCGTGCCCGATTGGAGAACATACTGGGTGTGCTTCAGGAAATCCAAATATTCTTTGTACGAGTCCCAGGCTGGCATGCGTGGTCCGTGCATATCAGCGAAATCATACCTATAAAAAGTAAGTTCGATACTGTTACCATAGCATGGACACGTACCCAAAGGTGACCAAGCCGGGCCATCTGAATACTGATTGTTTATTCTCAGGTAGAGTGGCATAAAATCGCGGCGTACGTTGTGTTTGGATAGGCCCCCGAATAAGGGAATCCGTGAAGAAGCGCCATGGTCACGCCACCGGCATACTGTGTCTTGGCGTCGAGCAGGAGTTCGGCCATGCGAATAGCGAAAGACTCCCCATGGTTGGCACCCGTTTCACTGGAGAAGATGGTGTGATTTCCAAGGTGCACGCCTCCGCCGAATTGCCGAGCCTCGTCAATTGTGGGCACGCCCAATGATTCGATCTCGGGAGCATCGGGAATGGCTGCGCTCGCTGCGACATCCAGATGGAAGTTGTACCCAGGTTGGTTGGAAAACTCGAATCCAATTGTGTGCGACCAGGCTTTAAAAGTGGACATATAATCAACATACAGAGATGTCTGGTTGTGCGCTTGTATTTAACCCGTTGTCATTATAGCTGATGGGACCACATACCAATGTATCTTGATAATCTTCCAGGAACTTCGCCCAGTCAATAATGATATTTTCCAAAGTCGAAGGGAGTCACCTTGTTCCAGTCAACAGTACTTCCGAAGTCGAAAGTTTGATTCACTCTTGGTCCCCCTGACAGATCAAGGTTTAGGACAGGCACGTATGTAAAGACCGATGTTACTCACGGTTCGATAATGTGTGCAAGACGGGGAGTGTTTTGTTCATTTCATACCCGTGTCGCTCAATAAATCGCTGTGGCAAACTCTCGGTCCAAAAGAGCTGGGCAAAAAACTCCATCGAATCTTCCCACATATAGCTTCCAACACCGGGTTTAGCGGCCATGGTGCCGATATCGTCTCGAGCAAGAATGTTTTGTTCGATGAACGAGATAGATACGTTGGCTCCCTTTTCGGAGAAGTGATCCACGACCCAGGATCCCCATGACCCTGGTTCATCCCGAAATGATCCGTTGAACCCTCGCCTCGCCTCTGGGAAGCCATTCCGACGGGAATAATATGCCAATAGCACACTGCTGGAATTGGGCGCGACGAACGATAGGCTCGTTGAGTCGATGACTTTGGAGGTTAGATCTTGCACCGTATTCCAGTCCAGAGAAACCCTGGAACTCGAGGGGCTTGCTCCAGGGATAAGTTCCGCGACGACAGCGCTGACTAAACGCATAGTGGTAATATTGGCGCTGTCTATCTGATTGTCCAAACCAGACACCATCGGAAAGACGGACGGATTCGGTAGAGGTCCGTTGAATGCCTCTCCGGCACCTAAGAAATGCGATCCAAACACGAGTTCCGTGTTCATTCCTTCCATGTCCACGTCGGTTGGAAAGACAGGAACGCCAGCCCCTTGGTCTGGTCCCATGCTGAAGTCGATGGTCAGGTTGTTTTCAGTGGCAGCCTGCACGACGATTCATGATGGTCAAGTTGTGTTCAATAGCAGCCTGCACCTGAACCTGCACGAACCTGCACAAGAACGGATGCGACAGATACGAAACGATCAGACCCAAAAGCAAACTCGGTAGGGTCAAGAAGGATATTCTAGGAGATGGGAGATATCAGAATGTAGAAATAGAGTTTTTCGCAGTTAAACTTCACCCCTGTATTATCCGCCTCGCCCCCATATGACTGATAGCTAATTAGCAATGGTCAGAGAATGATGACTTGGGAACCAGATGGTTTAACTATACCTCAGCAGCTCGAATCCAGAAGATCCTACACGAGCTATTTCCGCCACGTCGGAGCGCAGGATATCTGGGGAGGCCGATGCATCTTCAATCCAATATCGCCATTTGACTCCCGTCTTGGGTGCAGCGAACGAGCCTAGCTCCCCAGTGAGACGTGTGGCGACGTGGGGAGGAAGGTGAAGTGCGAGTAGTATGGGCCAAAGTGCGAACATTTTGCAAGAGCGACATGGCTCGGAATGCTTCTTATGTAGGATCTTGGCCAGAGAACCCTTCCGTCGTTGAATGACCACGATTTTTGCATACGATTTGTCATTCGTTCTCCACCCAGGTCAGTTGAACAAGGAAACACTGCCCAGAACAGATGAGAGAACCGCAGGATGCGCCACGCCGTCAGAGTTAACATAAACGTCTCTAGACGTGCGCCGCCACATCTTGGTTCAAACCACAAAGAAAATGCAGCGTCGTTACAGGTTTGTCGACTAGTTTCATTTGTCGACCAAGTGGTTTGCAAGCCGCTGGTAATCAGACAATTTATGTGACAACACAAGAAGAAGGCGCGTTAACGAGAGGAATGGAGCATCTGTCGCACCGTCGAAGATCTGGCCGCGGCGGGCTCGCTTTAACCCGCTTTATGTAAACAAGCCATAATAATAAGCATCGGTCCCGCGCGGCCCGGCCCGGCGCGGGGCACGCTTGGCACAGAATTTGGTACCCTATACTTTGTTTACCGCATCCAGGAAATCTCGCTCAGAGGCAACCTTCCGTCGGGCACGGATCGCAAACATTCCCGCCTAGGCGGTGGTCATGAAAACAAGAGCACAAGCTTTCTTGCTTCGCGCCGCATCTCGAAGAGTTCCCGGGCGCCTTCACCAACGTATCTCCGGACGAGTTCGGAGTTGGTTCTGTTGGTGACAGCACAGGCACACAAAGTCTTGCCTGTACCTGGAAGACCGCGAGGCTGACAAAGCGTTCTGGTGCAGGAAACTCGACAACCTCTTCGCATCCAGGTACTGCAGGCTTTTCACGGAGGCATGAACTATATCTTGTCGCTCGGCAGTCCTGGTCCTCTGGGGTTTAGACAAGAAGCTCGCCCAACTGCCGTCACTTTCGTACTCCAAACGAACGCGGCAGGGTTCGTCGAGCTGCGCACGAAGACGAAGAAGATTTTGCAGAGGGAGGAAGACCTCGCGGAGATTATGCGGCTTGTTGGGAAGCGAAAACGACAAGACGCTTGAGGTTGCGCGCAGGAGGATGACTTCCTCACAAAACCCCGGCCTGCTGAGGTGCTTCGTCGGCTTCCACGAGGCCGAGATTCAGCGATGCAAATATCAAGGATGCGGCCAGTGACTTCATGTTTAAGCTATCACAAATGAAGTTTCTTCTTTGGACCAAGTTGTTGAGGCTTGCTAGTCGCCATCGCAGGAAAGGTGTGCAGAAGCTGGATTCACTGTCTACCGAAATTCAAGACAAGTTCCGCCCGATGCCGAGTAAACTGTATTACGGATGTTCTGTTTTCAGCACGTTTCCTTCTTTGGGGTTTCGCTCTGATGTATCTCCTCGCAAAAATCCCGACAGCGCGCTGCTCCACTGCTCGCCAGTCATACGCTCCCTTTCCGCTATGCTATGCGCGTTCCTTCTCCAGTATGAAGGTGTAAACAGTGAAAGACATGTACAGTTATATCGACCGTCCAGAGCTGGAACGTCATTGACACGAACAACCCCAAAGTGTACCAACTAAATTCCCGGAGAGAAGCAGCAAGCATTGACCGAGTTTGGATGGAGCTTCATGTTTACTGCCCCCTCTAGAATTGCAGCGTATTGGGGCTAACCCTATTGTTAGTTGCCGGCTCGATAAACGTACCCAAAAAAAAAAAATTGAGCAATTAAAAACAGTTTTTTCCACTTCAGCTCGTCACTGCACAAGGGCGGTGCGCTCTCAAAAAGTCTCAAGCTTGAATCAGCAGAAACGATTTCAGCAGAGCGCGTCTGCAGAAAAGGGAAAAAAATTGACCCCTGCCCGGATTGAACGGACGACCTTGTGGAAGCCAATCATGTATGCACACGAATAGACTGGAATCACACATTCTACCACTGAACTAAGGGGTCATTGTTAAGTTCTTCAAAGCTAGCAATCATATGCGAAGAAGCTATTCCATTAGACCTATGTGAGAGCGAAACTGGTGAATTGCAGCAAAGATCGCTTTGCATGAAGCAAAGCCATGAAGCAAAGCATTGCAAACTTTGCATGACAGCTTTCGGGGAATGTCCACTAGAAAATCTGGAGTTCTCTTGGGCAATGTATCACTGATAGCGTTGCTTGTGAGAAGGGAGGAACGGCGGGACGTGGTTTGAGAATAGAAGGGTTGACAAGGCGCGTTATGTCACGATCCCATGATGAGTATGGTGGGGAAGAGCGACGACGACAACGACGCCGAAAAGTGTGGAAGACCTATCACGTGATTTGTATTATCGCGAAGTACAGACGGTTGCGTTAGACACGTACGATGGTGGTGCACCGGCAACACCACGGTGAATTGCGCTGTCAATACAGTCAGGCGGAAGCAATTGGGATTCCCGAGCCGTCAAACCGTGTTAAAAGTTAAAACCGCGGAAACGACGAGGCTTGGCTCAAGTTAAGCAGCGATGCAGAAGGTCTACTGGCAAGCGTCGTGCGCAGACACATCGTGCGCAAGTGTCCGAAGTAGCGCTTAGACCGCAGCGGAAGGTCGATATGAGGTGTAGGGCAGGTGAATGCTCCCATGGAGCGCGACCCGAGAATGGCTGCACTCCCGCGCGCATCCTACATAAGGACGCTCGGATGAGTATGGCGGAGTATGCCTCGCCAAATAGACTGGAGCAAACACAATGTTGGTTTATAAAGTTAACCCCAGGATAAGACGGTCATGTAACGGGAAAGAATCGGAGTTATACTGACTATTGATTTGTTTTGAATGATTCCGGATTTGGTGCAAAACCATGAATGGAACCACCACGAATAATGCACAGAACACGTCGGGACGGCTCACAAAACCCCTTCCTAACGGCCCAGCGCCCCCAGCACCCGCCGCTGCTCCGCCCGCCCCTCCAAATCACACGCACGCGCCATCCGGCCAGACCCGTGCACAACACAACCACGGGCCGCCAGTCAACGGCCACGCAAAGGGCAAAAAGAAGAATGAGGTGCCGGTGGATCCTGCCACCATGTATGAAAGTCTGAAGAACCGTATTGCTGCGTTGGAGGAGGAAGAGGTACTGGAGGAGGAGGAGGAGCGGAGGTTCGGTGCGTGCTCGGCTATTCTCTCTGTTTCATGACACTCAACCCGACCAGCGGAGGAGGCTCAGAAGTCGGTCAAGGGCATGTCTGAGAACGCTATTCATGCGAAGTACATCGAACTGGTAAACTGCGTTCTTAACGTTGAACTATAGCTCATCTTTTATTCTTTGGACGCCCAGTTCGCAGAATTTAAGCGGTTGGAACGAGATCATGCGAAGGAACGACAAAAGCTTCTCAAGGACAAAGACGCAGGTAATTATCAAGCACCTTGCTCCCCGAAGTATTCGTGTTTAATGTGGTCCAAAGCCAAAGGTCAGCTCACGAAGGCCAATCAATCAAAGACCAAGGTCGAAAGCCTCGCTCGTGAACTGCAGAAGGTATTTCACAAATGTTATTGGTATATGTTGTGCTTATCCTGTGTGCAGGATAACAAGCGGCTTCGCGTGAGCACGAACCAGTGAACTGACGAGGAACATGCATTTAACGTTATGTAGGAGGACGGAAAGCGGTTGGCCCAATCCGTCGAGGATGCTCAAGACGAGGTATTATTGCCCAATAGTCACTTCCTAACCGTTACTAAAACTCCTAGCTCATTCAAATGAGGAACGACATCACCAAACGCGCCGAGAAAGCCAAGGCACAGGACGCCAAGTACCGAGAGATGCCGGACATCGTCGTCAAGGTCGTGTGTCGCTATCGTGCAGAATTGTTCTTCAAAATCTCGCGCAAGACGAAATTGTCGCGTCTATTCAACGCGTGGACGGACAGAATGGAGAAGACGGGCGGCAAAAAAGGTGCCGGCGCCGAGAGCGGGTCTGTGAAGTCCGATGCCGTCCCGCCATCCGGACCCGGCGTACCCAGTCCGACCATGCAGTTCATATTCACACACAATGGAAGGACGATCGACGCCGACCAGACTCCGGAAGAGGCAGGTATGGAGGATGCTGATGAGATAGTTGCCGTCGAGTTGATGGACTTGACCGAGGGCCCTGGAACGGAGGAATGGGTGAGCAAGCGTCTATGGTAACGAGTCCCACATAACCTGAGGTGTTCTATAGGAAGATTTAGCAGAACCTCGGCGTCAGATGTTGAAGAAGAATTGGACCTATGATCCTCAAGAGTGTGTTCCACCCTTACGTTTACTTTTGCGGTATTAAAGGGCATACAATTCAAAGGGCCAAGAGGACGCTGAACGAAATCTTCGATGGAGTGTATGTCCCTTTGTTATGTTTTCCTGCTCGCAGTACACACCCCTCGCAGTGTTCGAGACCGATTGAAGGAAGTGCTTCGCCAATACGAATTACGGGAACGGCATTTTGAATGCGTCATTCGTTCCAAAGAATTGGAAGTGCTTTTGTCTCGTGCTCGTGCTGCTGAACAGAAGCAACTCGCGGAGGGGGAAAAGGCCCGCGCAGAGAAACGTGCCGAAGAGGTACGCTGTCTACTGCCGCCGCTTTTACACGTTCTATTCACCCACATGACAGATCCAACAGCTCAAGAAGGATCTTGAGGACGCACAGAATGGACAGACAATGCTCATTGACAAACTAATACAGTGCTGCAAGGAGGTAAGAAACATCGGCCATACTGTGTAGTTTTAACCCACTGTCCATAGCCCAACGCCGAAAGGACCCAGCGACTATTTGCTTCGCTCCGAGAAGAGCTAGAGAGAAAGGGACCTAGAGTTAACAAGACTCCTGCTGAAGGGGTAGTAGGAGGTTAATGTAGGTCTGATAATTGGAGTTCTCTGAACGTTTCACGTCAGCCTCGCAAGGAAGTGAATTACAAAAGGTATGAGAGAAGTACAGATACTGTCCAAGTAATTATTTGCAGGTCCGTGGGGTCTCGTCATCTACCGTGCGTCCATTAAACCAAGACGTCCAATTCCTCCAATTCTCCGACCACTCCTGACTTTGTGAACGTCCTGCCCTTGACGTTCTCCAGACCTTCTCCAGCGTAACTCACGAGCGGCGAGATCTCGATCTCAACACCCTCTTTGACAGTCGCCCCTGCCTTTTCCAAGAAACGCGTCTGCTGCGCCAACAAATCTCTGCGGCTTGTCTCGGGGTCATCCGAACCAGTACCCGGGGCATTTTTCAACGGACTAAACTCCTCGTTCCTCGCGACCTCCAGCACCGAGAAGTGCTCTGTGAATGGGAAGACATCGAAGATGAACATCTCAAGTTTCATGCCGTTTGGTTTGGCAGGCTTGACTGCTTGACCGGTTTCCAAATCGACATGAGGAATCTTTTTCCGTGCGATATGAAAGGGGAGTTGCTCCTCGAACGACTGAACCTTGTTCAAGAAGGTAGTCGTGTAGAAGTGGTTCGCGATGTTTCCAGCGCGGAATGCCAGTTCGCCGGTCTCGGGGTCGCGTTTCTCCGCCTGCTCCTTCGAGATTTCGGAGTATTCGACGACGCTGAATTTGTTGTCACGACACGCCACGACACCGACGGATTCTGTAGGAGATGATTTAGGAACAACCTTCGCGGCACAGTCGGCCTGCTTCTGGATACTGCAGCCGATGAATACAGGATCGGCGACGCGGACTAAGCAGTTATCAACGCAGTAGGCGTGGACGTAGAGAATGTTGCGCGCCGCAAGGTCCGATAGAACGGTGCGCGACTTGTCGGCGGGGGAAATGGGGCTGCGAGTAGCTGCATACAAGCCGCCATTTCCATCTGGGGCAACAGCTATCCGAGACGGCGTCTCCAACAAGATCTTGCCGTCCATTGTTAGGCATGGTAGAGTGCCTGTAATGAAAGAAACGTGTTAGCCGACCGAACACACGCGAATAGCACCTTGTGCGCACCTTGCTCGAATATGATGATGTTTTTGGGGTCGAGTCCGAAGAACGAATTCTTTGCGAAGAAATCGGCAGTTTCGTGGCGAGTCGGGCCACTGGTCATGACATACCAGGGAATGACTACGGAGCCTTTGGGCTTTTTGAAGTCTTGTTCAGCAATGGTTTGCAAACGGGCGATTCGCTCCGCCTGGTACTGGAAAAGAGACTTGTGAGAGGGCAGACCGATGTCGTAGCAGCCTTTGGGTGCGCTGCTGCCCAGTCGGGTGCCTTGGCCACCCGCCAAGAGCAGCACACCAACCGAGCCGCTCGCGATGGCTTCCAACCCAATCGCTCGCCACTCGCGCTCCTTCGCTTCGGTATTCACAGAATCCGATGCGTCTTTGGGCAGGGGCTGAATGTTATCGTGTGCGCCAGGATCCGCGGCCAGGTTCTCCGCTGCAACGGACTTGTGGTATATGCGGTTGACGCGGTCTATGTCTAAAGCTTCGAGCTGAGCAGCGAGGGATTTCTGGTCGGATTCAGTGAGCGTGTCCCAGAATTTAAAGAGGTGGGCCTGGCCAGCAGCCTCGTAGCGCGAACGGAGAGACATCGAGATGGAGTATGTAGAAACGGACGAAACGGAGTACAGCGAAGAGATTTCTATATCGACCTTATATAGCCTGACGTCGGCTTCCTTATGTACTCCGATCACGAGCCCCTTTGGCTGCGCCTTGTTTGGCACCGGCGGTTCTCCTACGAACATGGCGTCTCGCTCTATGGAAATGACACCGCAACAGTTCAATGGTAACGATACAGTGACCACAGGCAACCCCAGCTCAAGCACGCCTGCCACCAGAGGTAATTCAGTCATTTGCGAAGTCCCATGTAGTCTAATCCGAGTCTAATCATTCTGATAGGGTATAACTTGCTGGAGAGGTTCACTTCGCCTGCATCTGCTGTGGTTTTTGGGGGGCTCTTTAGGCTCCTAATTGCACTCTGTGCTGTTCTTAGTCCATTAATCTGGGAGCTCCCGACCATGACCTCTCG